GCAAATGTGTTGAAATTTTATGCGCATAATAATAAGAATAACAAGAAAATAGAAAGCGTAATAACAAAGGCAATTTTGAATATTTTACATTCGTAGCAAGGGATGCGCGGGTCAGGGGCAATCCATGGTAAATGTTTTTCCGAATATTCCTTTGCATATCGTTCCGACACGAATCTACGGTTATGGATCACTAACTTCTTGTATAACGTATAGACCGTGCAGCATGCTTTACTATCAGGAATTCATTAAATTGCAATTAAACGAAAATAAAGATACTGACAAGCAAATATGTACATATCGAAAAAATGTAAATTTAACATATGTCAAGAAGCACTTCGATTTAAATTATCACCGATCTTCTAATTATTCGTAATTTCACATTGAATAATAATGGTTCATATTCTGGAAAAGAACGGAAATCTTTAATAATAAATGTGTAATGGAAATTGTTGTTGAAATACGTACGAAGGAACATAGTACATTTACATTAGTAAAAAAGATTCTTTAACAAAATTCCAACTAAAATTCCATAGGATATTTCAATTTTCCTTGCACGTAATAACAAGGACGTTGTGTCGCTAATACGTACGAAGGAGACAGAGCGATCAATAAATCTCTACCTATCCCACGAGATATTTATCAATCGAACCGGTCACGGCGCTGTGACTTTGAACAGTATTCACGATGATCCACGATCTTAACCTTTGCGAGCTATTGTTGCGCAACGTTTCGAAATCATGCCGAAACTGAACAAGCTTCTAGTAACGTCAATCATCGCGGATATCAGGGAGTGTGTACATGTCTCGAACGAGATATATTCCTGGCTTGGCGATATCGAACATCTGTCATGGAAATTCCCGACGAAAACCGCGAAGGACATAAATGCCATGGAAATTGTGAAGGAGCACGACGGAACCGCAGGGGAATTCTATATTCTTCTTCTGGAGTTAGCTTACGACAGGTTGTTTTACACTCTTTTCCCATTCTATTTCCTTCTTCGGTCGTACTTTGTTGTGTATTTGCATAAATTCGTCCACCACACGAACAAACTGACGATACGCGACGATTAAAAAATCTTTCCCCTTTGCTGTCTTTTCGCGAAGGAGTTACCCGATGAAAGGCGAATTTCGCCAAAGTTTTATCGGTACTGATTCACACGATTCAATTAGGCGTGCAAATGTTTCGTAATCGTGGTACAGTCAAAAGAAACGAACTGCTTTTCGGGCGAAATGCAATGGAACGTTCGGTGCACTTGGTTGCCTCGTGAAGCCATTTCCAATTGAACAACTCATTACTCGTGTTTTAACGTCCAAGGCTATTCCGAAGTTAGGGTGATTTACGTTCTCTGAATACTTCTTTTCTTTCCTTTTTCTTTTCTTTTTTTTTTTGTGTCGACGAAATCCTTTCGTTGTGTTTAAGATAGCATATTTTACGTAAAGTGTTTTAACGAGCCGAAGATAACAAGCGAGACATGAAATAACTTTTAAACGTAATCATTTTCACCACATCATTTATCCAAAATTATTCCATTTGAATCGTTAAATTATTATTAGCTAAAGAGAAACCTTCGTTCCAGAATCCATTTTGTTCTACGCTTGATCGTGGAATTCATGGACAAATTTCCGTTCGTGGAAAACTTTTTCAAAGAAGTGACCTGCGTCAGTCGATCGAATCAAATTTCGTTAGCCAGTTTATTGCGACTTGTCTGGAATCGGTTGAAGACAATACCTGACTCGATATCTCGTCATATGGTTAGTCGAATAAATGCTAAAACACAGATTCTTCGTGAAAAACAAAGGACAGTTCCATTGAACGAATCAAATTTCAAAGTAACAATGTTTTCCACTTTTCCTGGCGAAATATTCAAGTTTGTTACTATTCTCTCGATCGAGGATTTACATTTTTCAGAGATAAAAAGTTATTCACTTTCCAATCGCTTTTAGACGAAATATTATATTCTAACAAATGTTCATAGACAATTAGGCGCTTTATCCTTAATAAACTTTCTGCCGTACAAAAGGTTCGTTCTTTAAAACGATCGAGAATACGAGAGTGGAAAAAAGGGATTCGCGTATCAAAGAGAGATTCGAATATTTTAAACACAAAGTGAATCTATTAACGAAAAAAATTAATCCGATGAAATTATCTTGAGTCTGCGATAGACTTTAAGCGCAAAGGTTAATTATAAAATGACTACATTTTAGATAGTAAACGACTATTTCTTATCTCAAAAATTTCTTTCCAAACGTTTTTCCTGTTCGACGCTTTACAAATGTAAAGTCGCTCGCGAGTCGAGTGTTTAAAAACGATTCCTACAAAGGATCTATTGAGTTAATTAATTAATTTCGAGAAACGTTGAGTTACAAGAATCAGATACCTTTCATATCTTTTAACACCAAACGTGAAAGCGCTTTTAACTTTTTAATTGTTATACGTGTGTGAATACAATAAAGGAATGTGAATTAGTCGGACAAAGAGTAGAAAGGTGAAACGAAAAAGGAAGAAGAAATTAAAACATAAAGGGTGAAAGTAGCAATGAGAAAGAGAAATGTAACGAATAAAAGGGAGAATAAGAGTGGAAGGAAGAGACGTGCACGTTTCTCAAATCGCGTATACGATGGAGATCGTAAAAATTTCCTTACCATTCCATCGGAGGAAGTTGCCGAAAAATAGCAGCATGTCAACAGGTGAAAAATAGCAAGGATGAAGCGCGGGATTCCTTCACGAGCAAAGTATCCCAGAGTTCTCAAGCAAGCAGCAGCGTGAATTATTGTGAGAGTTGTACGCTAGCTGGAACGGCTATTCTTCAGGCGATAAATGCGATCGAGCGTGTATTCATAGAAAACAAATTAATTTCTGTCGCCACTATGGAAAGGTGAGTGCGATTCGTCACATATAACGTACAAGCATAAACGTAAACTAGAAGGGAGACATCTTATGTGCGAAATACATGTTACATTAATTGGAACTTTTAGAATGCTTCGAGCGTTTAGAAATAGTAGAATTTTCTGTAAAAATGCATAATTAATTTTTTCAAGGCCCTATAGCTGGTTCCCTGGATTTGAAAATGGAGATAAATTATTTCTCTTAAATGTAAACTACATTTTAATTCCGTTTTAGCACATTTTAGCTCATAATTTACGTACCACGCTTTCCGAAAAGTTCCAAAATTTTATTATATACCTAATATTATATTAACATATAATGCTAGTAGATCTTCCTTTATTTCACTCTTTATGAGCTTAAAATAAATGTTAAAAGCTAAATGTACTCTCCGGTAGCTGAAAACGATTTAAAAAAAAGTAATCTCAGTAAAATATGCACGTTATACATTCCACATCATTTTGTATTATGTATGCCCTTAATATCATTGCATCTCTCGGAAGAAAAGTACAAACTGCAACGGATAGCCTGAAACAAGAGTTTATTCTCGCGTTAACAGCAACCATTTTCACTTCTATTATAAAATGAGAGAAAAACAAATTCTCGTAGAATCCAGCCACCCCAAAAGATAAAGAACATCCAGAAAATTTCTCTCTCGCGATAGATAATCTAGTTACAAGTTACAACGTCTCTCAGGGTGCTATAAAGCTCCGGCGCAAGATGCATCCTTTCGCGAATAAACTAATAAAACAGTGAGTTCGGGTAAACATACGTGCTACCTGTGCTCGTTGACACGGATCGCGATTGTTCCAGAGACGAATGCAGGAACGACATTTACGAGAAGACTCAATGGGCCGTGATGAGCAGGCTGACGAAGGGAATAGAAACAGACGTCGAAACGGCGCTGACTATGGTGAAGAAGAGCAATTTGAGAATACAGGACGCCAGACGAGATCACGACCAGACGATTCGAGAGCTACGGACCAGTTTGACGATGCAAGAAAAACGAACGGACGCATTGCAGGCTGAAAACTCGGAGTTGAAGGCTCAACTAGAAAACGGCAGGTTTCCTAGCTAGATACTCCGTTTACTGATCGTCATCAACCCCCAGACGATGGCTTTTCCCGATTCTTCCTTTTCTCTTTTTCCTCGTTTCTTTCGTTCGTTTCTATAAAGTCGTCTTGTTCTTTCCTTTTAATAGGTTCCGAGTGGAAATCGAGCACGATGTATCGGAAGTCGTTTTATCGATTAAATTCTAAATAGCTCTGAGACTTGGTCGATGTGATACGGTTGTCGGGTATCGCAGCTTCCAGCGAAGCAAATCGATAGGCGGCATTGATTTGCTCGGAATGTATGTAATACGTATGGGAGTGATCGTGGTCGATTACCCCACGGGAAATTCGATCGAGGAATTTTTCTGCCGTGCCACCGCAGCCAGGCGGATACGGTTCAGTAATCGATCGAGAACGATTTATGAATGTCCGGTGAATAGCAGACGATAGGAACGCGAGATCTGTTGCTCGTTTGTAAAGCGAGAGTACGGAATAGAAAACGTTATGAGACGCTTAATGCTCTAAAGAGAAGAAAAATATCATGAATGGACGGTGTAGTAATTAATCCATAATCATGGTAGGAATAAATAAAATAAATTTTATTTCCATGGAAGCAAAAAAATGATAAACGAAGGACGTTAGACTGGAATACGCAAAGCGAAGAATTGTATTATTTGAAGTCAAAGGGACATCAGATATGTTTTGTTAGACTGTGATAAAAGAAAATTTACATCGAGGATTACCTTTTTCTTCTCTCTAATTGTAGGTGGTTTTATTACTTTTAGAAACCAGATAATATGATTGCGTTGTAATGTAATGAAAAGTTAAGCTTCTTTATCGAGGTTCTTTAATACCGAAGTCATCTGCTATTTATCACTGCAACTTTCATTTCGAAGAAATACTAACAGATATTATAAGAACTCGAGAATATTTTGATAAACACAAACTGCCCCTATCTTACCTATCGAACAACTGATTACTGCTAATGACCTACTCTATACGATACTAATTAGCATTAAACCCCGCGAGGTGACCTATTTACTCGAACATTGATTTACAGCGAAAGAAGAGCGCGAAAGGGAAATACGGCGTACTGCAGCTTTGAAGGGACAAAGCGAGACGTTGAAAGAAACCCTGGAGGATATTCGCAGACAGATGTCGATGCTGGGTAAGTATAAAAAAGCGAGGACGCACAGAAGGAAGTGCCGTGTTGTGTATCGGAACGTGAGGAAGAGTTCGTTTCTCGTTTCGTCGGAGGAACGAGATTTTCCAACGAAATTTGACAGGCGGCATCGTACGACGAACGGAAGCGAACGAATACACGGATACCACGGCGGGGAATAGTCTTATTTTCGAACGTTCATTGCAGCCGGCGAATATAACATTTTGCAAAGTCAGGCGGTTACGCTGGCCGAGAGCAAATTGGAGCTGGAGAAGACCGTGATCAGACTCCGAAAGGAAATCGTCGACACCCGTGATGCGTATCTCGAGACAGAACGAGGTTCCCGAGTACTTTTAGACGAATCGAGAAAGGAGAACGAATCGGTGAGTTGGACCATACGATACATGCGATTGCGATTTCTCATCCAGTACAGAGTAAATCGAAGCGAGGAGATGGCGTTCATCGATGACCATCTAGACACGTGAGATATCGTAGTTTGAAATAATGACGGAATATGAAATTGTAGATCGATTGGTTACCATTAGAAATTGCAAAAATCTGCAGAATATGCAAGGGATGTCAAGGATGTCTGCAAGGAATATGTAGTAAATGAAACAAGGGTCTCTAGGTTCTTCTATTTCTGAATGTCTCGAATACTTTATGGTAATAATTACGATAATTTACTAAAACACCTAGTAAACCACTTTACTAAAGTAAAGGTAAAGGTATCTAGGTACGTTGTATGGGTAGGATGAGCATAAGCAATGGACATTGTTCGAGAAATTTTGTCAGATTCAATAGCCTACGCCTTTATGGCGTTATATACCACTTAATTTGTACCGAGGGTCACCAAAGTTCCGTTTCACCTATTTGCACCAGCTGTTCGGTTATTAATTAAGGCTGTTAACTGCTTTGTTATGTATGATGCGTTAATGATACAACAGACGATAGAAATTGCTTGCTGTTTAAGCCGATGTCGGTTTACTATACGGTCGCTACATAGCCTATATACAGGACTAAATTCTCCTGAATTAATCTGCTGTTCGGTTAAATCAATTTATACGAGTTCAGGGAAATTTACGATCAACTATATGGCTGAGTGTCAATTTTGTCGTATTACTACGAATATCATTTTTTTTTTAAATTAATATCATGATAGCCAGACTGCGGATTTTTATATCTTAAATATTCAGCTTATATGTGGGAAATATTTATATTTACGAAATATGAATCGTGCTCGTGTGTATCAATAGTTAGTTATCATAATCTACGTTAGAATAAATAATAATAGTTCTTAAAATATTTTTGTCGTAAATTATACGTATCGGCTGTGTGAAAAAAATTATTTATAGATTGAAAAGAATCCTTTTAGGTCACAGAACCGAAATGTACATATTTAAATTAGCTCCAGTATCGTGCCAGGTCATTTTCTGGTCTTTCTATGGATGTATCTATTCTCGTACTTATCTCGTATCTAGAATTTTTGAAACTTTCGATATTACGTCGTAACCAAGATTTTTCTTCCAAATACAACAAAATTTTTCCCCTATTTGTCAATTGCGTAGCATAAGTGGGTATAAAATTCAATTTTATTTGATTTCCGTTATTGTGCACATTTCTTAAAGTGCATATTACGAATTCAAATTGTTCTGCATGGTTGTATCTGATATAAATTGATTGTACGGCAGTTATAATACGAGTATCACGAGTCATAAATTGTTGCAAATAAAACATCTTGGCAAAAAATATGTAACATATTCATTTATGTCGTTTACGTAAAATACGCAAAATGTATGCAATATGAAGAAAATGTATTTGCATAAAAATCCGCTAGTATAAAAATCTAATGATAACGTACTGTATTCCATACAGTCATTAAGACGTTCGAAAATTAGATGTAAAAGGTGTTATTCGTAAAGGTGTTAACTACGTTTATTTTCTGATGTTCAATTTAACATGGCAATTGAAAAGAAATGTTTTCAGAGATTATCAGAAGAAGGGTACGAACTGACCTACAACAATGCTGCAAATCTTGTACGTAAACTTCCTGCTTCGTTATTTACTCTGTGGCTTACGATGATCGAAAGTTTATTGCTTCGTCGACAAAATTCTCGATTCTATTTTCGCCGCTTTCCATCAATCAAACATTTCAGTTCCAATTTCGCATTAACGAATTTACTAGTCAGTTTTGGAAATGGTCACAGTACAAACCTTAAACGTTAGTCTCTGTAATAGAATAGTAAATCGAATTATAAAATTGTGTCATAAGATAGCAACTTTTGTAATGAAATAGTAAAGTGTCATAAATCTATCCCATAAAGTACAAACTTTTGTTAGGCCAATAAACTACAGTGCAGGGAAAGGTAAAAGTGCTGATGGGCAAGAAAGGATGAGAAATCTCAATGGGTCCGTGGTTTAGGATAATAGGTAATTATAATCCATTCACGTGACCATTTTGGGTCAACAATACCTGTGAAACGTGTGAGCATGGTAGGAGTACTAAGACTGGTATAAAAGGACGTTTTGGTGGAGAAAATGAGTTAGTCGTTAGTCGTTAGTCGTTTGTTGAACTTCGTTGGGAGTTGATCACGAGTCGTTACGAGTTATTGGTTGCCGATTTTTGCGAGTTCGTGATGAGTTGTGAGTTGTGAGTTGTGAGTTGTGAGTTGTGAGTTGTGAGTTGTCACTCAGAAGTTAATTAGTTGTACCAATTTAGTTGTTTTAGTTGTATTACATTACTACATTGGGAAATAGCTCTAGTTAAATAATCATAGTTTCGTGTTTGAATCATCGTAAATAAACCTATCATTATAAATAAATTAATCAAGTAAATAAGTCACTATAGTTATACATTATTTGCTTCAGTTGAAGGAAGAGTACAAGGAAACGGCCGAGAAACTTCAGCAAGAAATCGCATCTTTACGTTTGATGGTCTCAATTAAGAAAGATAACGAGAGTGTCAAAGACGTCAGTGACAGTGATACGGATAAAACGATTCAAGAAGAGACCATTTTGAAGCCTGAAGATGATCCTGTGTTGGACATGACGCAGCAACTGATCTCGAATCGCGAAAAGATCGAGATACTGTCACGGCAAAACGATCGGCTGTCGAAAACACTATGTCGATTACGGCAATATCAAAGGCAAGTTACGACAAACGATTCATACAAATGACATACTTGCGAAAATCGTCAGGTTCCATTTTCTGACCTGTTATTCACTGTATTTATCTATTGGTTTGTAACATGAATAAGTTCGATCGAACAAGGAAAAATATTGAGTTCAGCCAAACTTATGTTACAATCCAATAAATAGATCGTGAGTACATACGTATAGCGATAGTCTATTCCCAACGGGTATTATATTTACGAAGTGAAAACTTGAATAAATTTATCGGTTGTTTCGTAGTTGATTTTTCCACAGAAGAGGATATAGGCCAATCTTCAACGATCAATTTGTATAGTAATTTCAGTTTTCAGTTATTTCAATTAATAAGTTAATTTCTCTTATGTAATTGCGAAAATTCTTTCAACTTGTCCTTCTTTTCTCTGTTATGAATACCACGCGCAGCTAGAAAATTGTTAGTATACTTAACCGTGGTGATAATATGATCTTACCCGTATAATTTGATTGATATTTTTTATATCTTGTTATAGCGGTAGAGTATCAAACGTAAAAAATAAAACGCAATATTCAGATACTGAATTATCACAAAATGAATATTTTATAGACAGACAGAAATAAACTGTCATTTTTGCAATATATATTACAAAGAAAATTACGTAATGAGCATGCTAAGTAGTACGATGTGACAATGTTTATCTTTTAGCATAAATGTAACAATTATAGATTACAGAACTATTTTGTTACAGAAATACGATTAGTAGCGGCATACATCGCTGAAGCAGTACAAGTTCCATCATTTTACCGATTTATCCGTCGAGCTTGATAATATGAAGATTTTGGACTTGCTTTTACATACCCTCCAGCCCTCGGAGCAAAAGGTCGACTTCATTTCCGAGCTTCCTCCAGAGATGTCGCAGTTGATATTGCGAAAGCTCGATCCTGAGTCGCTTCTGCGTGCTGCGCAGGTCTCGCATTCCTGGATGAATATTTGCCAGTCTGATCCTTGCTTAAGGAACACTGCAAGACAACACAAAAATGCAAAGAAGTTAGAGTTGGACAAAGTGAAAGAAAATTCCAACTATATTGATTCCGCCAGTTTCAATTATCTGAACCATATAAACTGTAAGTTAAAACAGTTGAACGATTACTACAAATCTTGTGATTATACTCAATGTGGAAACGTATATACAATCGTACGTAGAATCAATGAAGTTTCATATAGAAACCAGTTAGATTACGTAAATGAATGCTCAAATTTGCAGTTTTATTTTTAAGCATATTGATATTTATATTTATAAGTGAATCTTTAAAATTATATAAGTGAATTAAGTGTACAACATTGTAAGCAATGTAACTTTTAGAATAAAAACAATAATCATGATACGTGTTGTGTTTAAATATAAATGACACTGGATTGTCCAACTTAATCAATATATTGATAGATATGTTAATACTGTTCTATTATTGTAACATTGATATTACTTAACATTCTTAGCCTTATTTATTATTCCTGTACTAGATACATGAAATAATCTATGTAAACGTCTGACATGCATAATGATGTATTTATGAGTATATTATTAGTTGAATGTGGTTAGTCAGGTCAGTCAAGTTACCTGAACAAGAAACATCCAACCGTGACAAATGCTCAGGTATACAAACTGTGAATTTTATGGAGGGTAATTATTCCCGCTTTTGAGGAGGTTTTTCAAATTCCTTAGCACAATTGAAATGTTGGAGCCCAGCAAAATGGATTTCGTTTCAAAACTTCCACCAGAGGTGTAATACGAGTATCATAAAAGTGGCTGCAAATTTACAGGTGTAACAAAAGTTTTAGACAGATAGCTAGGGAAATATATTAGAATCTAGTATAGTAATTAATTTGGATAATAGTTCAGATAATACATTCACTAACATGTGATAAAGGACCACGTAGTAATAACAAGTAAAAATAATTTTTATTTCAATTGATAATCGTTCTGATATCTTGACGCTAAGAATTATTTTAAATTATATATGTCGGAGATGAAAGGACGCCGGAGCCGTCCCTCTGGAACTTCGGGAAAATCCGTAAAATTGCAATTAAAGTTTACAGTCGTAATTAAACAATTAGCCGTCATCTTGCTCAATTGCACTTGTTTGCGATTTGTGATAATAAACTTGGGCTCAAGGCGACCATCAGTCGCCGAACGTAGCCTCGGTCAACGGGACGGGCGCTTCGCCTAGCAAAGGTGTGGTATTATAGTATGACCCTCATTAAAAGAAATACCAATAGAGGTACTTGACAGTAAAACATTCTAACGGTTCCTTCGGACAACGAATACCTGTTGTTGACGAATCTTGGTCGATACAGACTTGACGGATCTATGATTGCTGCTGTCGTGTCCTACAAGTTTGACATCGTTAACATCGAGTTCTACGATCTGAAGACTGACATTGCCATATACGCGTGTCTACAGAATAGACATTCTCGCACGGAGAATCTAATAAACTTGAAATTGATCACACCAGCTATATCTTCAAAATTGCGCGATCGTGAAACTGCAAGTTAATGTCATCTACGATATCTTGGCAACTTTAGAGTCGAGGATCCAGGTGTAGAAGGAGTTTAAATGGAATAGGAGAATCACAGAGTCTGACGACTGAATATCATTAGCGACCGCCAATGTATTCTATAGCGATAGTTTAATCCCCTGGGTAATTTCGTTTGACTGCAAGTATTAGCTTGATTAGTGTCTGCTAAAATATTCTTAATTAATGAAAAATTATTCGATGGAATTTTTATAATAAATTAATAACTGAAGTGAAGATTCTTATGCATTAAATATGAAAAAATGTAAATCTACTAATAAAATAAAATGAGTAGAGGGTAGAAAAACACGACGCTCAAGATAATCGCATAATTTATTTTTGTATATACAGTCACTTTACAACGCGTACTTTTTGTTATACAGTGTAGCTCACAAATACTTAGGTCAGCAAACGGCGAATGGTCGCAGTAAAGACGGTATCAAAGTAAAAAAACTAATTCAGACGATCGCCCTGCCGCGATAGGTGTTAGTCTCCGTGAGAAATAAACGACACTGAACGATGTTGCACGCACAATCGGAAATCTCGACAAATCATTTTGTGTCTCTCTTATGTGTTTCATAGGGACAATCGATTTCTCTCGTTTTATAAAATTTTGTGACTCACGAGTCGATAAATTTCTTAGGGACGGGGAAGCTTTAGAGGCAAAAACATCGATCCTGTGATCTCTATCTAGGTTGGCAGTAATTCTCAGGCATGGATTGAAATTTTTCCTCGCTCCTTGTATACGCTCCCGTTCTTTGAATCATACCAGCATCGTGAAACTTCTTTTTCGTCGAACGATTTCGTAAAGTAAGTCAGATAACATCTTTGTTGTTTTATTTTGTACCGTTCCGTCGATTACGCATTATACACCGTAGTTTTTACGATAACACGCACGTAAATGTCGGACACATTGACGATCTAATGACAATGTACCGCAAAAAAAATGAGATATGGCGGTTCAACACTTGCGATCGACAATGAGAACACAGTTCACGCAATAATAACATAAAAATTTTAGAATATTTCCCTATCTCTTCCATTGTTGTTCTTCAATGTATGTTTTCACGAAGTAGCAACCCTTTCGATGTAGCAAAAAATTATTACAGTCGAAATTTAATAATTAACTTACATATATAACCGAAACCTACGAATTTCTTTCTTAACCATTACAAATTCAAATACATTCGATAGAAATATAATTATAATACGTTTCGAATCTAACTTCCTCTTTTTTTTTATATAGATATATATGTATATATATAAAACGCAGTATATTCGCGAAAGCAACGTCGACGATCGAAGCAGATCTTCTTTCTATTTTCGTTACAATAAAACATTCTTCTTTTCTCTTGTTCTTCCAGGAGACGCATTACTGGCCACAAATTCGTTTCGATATGTTGAACAGCGATATTCATTGGAAGAATACAAAGGATCACATTTCAAGAGGGAGGATATGTGACAATATTGCTCGCGATCAATCCGAATTCTCTAACGAGGAACAATTTTTATATAGTCAAGGCTTAATTATTCGAGAACGAACTCTTTCCTTTCAGAATTTTCTTTGCACACCGACCGTTATAGATCGACAGATATGAAATAGATATGATTGCTTTGAGACGTTACATTATAAAAATTGTATAAGTGTGCATCTTTCGAACGAAAGAACATAATAGAAAAGATACGTTTAAAAACCATTAGAAGATTCGTCGTAGTAGCGGTGAGGAAAATATTCACGCGCTTCTTTTGAATAATTACGCAATAGTTTGGTCGATCGACGCTCGTTTCCTTCATAGAATCACTTTACTTACAACATAGTTAACGTCGAACATTTCCAGACGATGTATGGTCATTATTTACATGTCGATAAGAATATCGATTCCACGTGATGGATTTTACAAATATATGTATATGATCTTATGCACGTCAAAGATATGTATTGTGTTTGGCGCTTAGGTTCTAGAAATTACGTATTTAAACGGTGCGCACAAAAAACAACCTTAAAAGTTACGACATTTTTTCATTAATGGCATCCAGTATCGCGAACTGGCAACCGTACTAATTAGTTCGATTCGTTTTCGTATTAAAAAATGAAACTTCTGTTCGTTCGATAAATCGAGCGACGCTGGAAATATTCGACGAGGCGAGTTGAAAAATCTTCGATAACGTCTCTTTCTGCGACCGAAGATCGGCAGTCGCCATTAACGATTAGAATTTAGGCTGTCTTCGACATTTTGTCGCGATCGTTAACAGGATTGACGAGCAGGGGAAGAACACGTTGACGCAGACATTGTTTCGTTTCCACGAGCGACGGAAGAAAAGAAATTTAAACAAAAAGGAAGAAAAACTTCGTCGTAAAAGGCTTATTCGATGAATCATTGCGATTATAATTAGGTCGTTCTGACGATTTTCTCTTAGGTCCGACTTATGCAGGTGCGCACGCTTACGCGAGCTTTAGTACACGATAGTAAAACGATAATCAACTCGTAGATCAGCACATGTTAATCATATTTACAAGTAGTATATCCCGGCACGGTATCTACTTTTCTTTCTTCAACCATACGTCAGCTTTCATTCAGACACTCCTTCTCGTTGATCATTCGATTACACACAAGCGGTACATTATCATATAATTAATAATATTATTATTATTTTCGCATCATTTTCAGACGCCGAATCGTATTCCGTGTTTTATAGAATCGATCAGAATTGTAAATCTCGAGTATAAATTCACGATCTTCGTTTCCACATTCTAGACACCTTCCTTTCGAATTCCTTTCGATTCGTCGAAGGAACTCAACTCGATGGAAACGATTCGACTTCGTTCTCGGTTATTTAATGCATACATGTCTTCGATTCTTCTATTTTCTTCGATTCTAGTCCATTTACAATTTAATCGATCGTGGTAGACCGTGCGTTTCCGTGAACCCTGTATATGAAGAAGAAACCTGTGATCACGCTCGTAATCATTTTAGAATCGATTGCGAAACTATCTCGTGCAAGTGTGTTGGAGATTGTCGAACGGAAATGGAGTGTCTTCGAGGCAAGCTCGATGCATTCTTTAGTACCGGGTCGAAATGTAACGATACATCGATGATCGTGACCGATCGACGATACACATTCATCATGGTACCTGTGTCCATTAAATGGAATGTAATCTGCATATAGTGTCATATGTATAATATATATATTTATATATATAATATAATCATAGTAATATAATATATATATCTATTCCTTTGCGCATTTGTAAAAAGCCTTGCTTGCCTAGAAACAACGTTGTACGGCGTATCTGTTCGTATAATTCTTATTTATGTATGTTACGTGTGTTACGTGTACGCGCGTGTGTGTATGTGTGTGTATTTATCTTGTTCGTTCATCTTTTTCTTCTTTTCTTTTTTATCGTTTTTCTCTACTGGCGTAAATCAACAAGTCCTTTAAAATACATTCTTCTATATTCTGATAATGCACGATCATTTAAATCTCTCTACCGAAACACTCAAACATAACACCGATTTATCGCTTTGTTTTTCTGTTTTTTTTCTGTTTTAACTATTTTTTTTTTTGTCATTTATTTTAACTCTCTCAACTCTTCCTCTTACGTTCTCTCTTTCCCCCATTAATCAGTCTTGGCATCGTAAAACATTTATAGGTGCTTCGATATATTTAACTTACAGAGTAACGTCTAAACGAATATCGATGAGTTTTATCCCTTTCACGCCCGTCTCTGTATTTTTGACCCCGGAAATCCCCCCATCCCACTGTTCTTACCACTCAGCTTCAACTCGATGCTTTACAAGCATTTCCTCCCCATAGCCCCAAATTTATACGTATACGCGTTAAATTTTATACATACATATTATTTATTCATATGTATATTTAATCTCGTCACCTTAAAAATATATTATTGTCCTTAGATGAGAACGTTCAGCATTTAACACGAGAGATGCTCCTCCTATTCACCTCTTCTCTACCGTCTGATCATTCGTTGTGGCAAACGAACGACAAATGGGACTCTGTTTCCCTATACTATCCCCAACGAAAAATAAATATACGAGTTAGCTTGCTATTGTTATTGGATCCGCCATTTATCCTTGCTGTAGCACGATTGGCGGGTCCCTTTTCATTGTATTCTCTCGTACAGCTTTGGCAGGAATCACGTGTCTCCTTGTCGGTTACAAGCCCAGTTCCTTTCCGCCATCTCGCTTTCTGTTTCTTCGTTTTCATTGGAATCGTTCAAACCTCGTGTCTCGTTCCCTCCGTTTCCCCCAGAAACGAACACCACCAACGATTTCCTTCGCGTTCGTCTTTGTCCGTTTTAGGCAGATGCTAACTCGTCGAAGACAAAAGCGTCGTTAAGTCGACAAGCGTGGCCAAAGGCGATATCACGTTGACAATCGTCGTTTCCGGGATTCGTTATCATACATCGTTGTCGTGACAGTACTCGATCTTCCGCCTGTTCAGCTGAAGACGTCGTTTATCCACTACGAAGTCTGACACGCAGCCTTTGATGCCTCGATGGCCGGGTTTTCCACCGACGAACAGCTTGCCGTTTGTCGTTAACAGGGTGGTCTCTGTGGATACTTTCACCGGAGTGAAATCGTCGATTTGTATCATCGACGTTCTTCGTCTTCTCGATGCCCTGATATGATGGAAAACACCATCGTCCACCCGTTCCTGCATACAAAAACCATCGGTAAAACATTTGTAATACTTCAATTAATTTAATAATCGCTAATAAACTAGAAATATTATCGATTAGTTTAAGTTTAAACCTACTAATTAATTATTTCATTTAGTTCCAATTGATCGATGACGTTAAGCATTCGATAACTTTCATAATACGATACATAATTGATAAAACACTAATACTAACCCTGCTCCTCAATGATATCTGCTCGCTCTTGCTCTTGTACGTAAGAAGAACTTGGCCGCCGTGTAACGATAAAATAAGATGTTCGATTTTGCCTCTTCCAACCCAGGCAATCAAGCCATCCGGATGCGTTGTTCTCAGTCTCAGCTCAAATTTATTCGACTGCTGACCCTTGCGTCTACAATATCGTTTTCTTTAGTGCGTGTTTGGTGTGCTTAGTCTTAAATATTGAGCTACAGTGCCATAGGACAAAGACATAATACATACAAGCAAGCATTGCTATAAAATAAATAAAAATCATACAATATCAACCCTAATAACCCTATGTTTCATGGTATGGCTTTGAAAGTTAAAGCTCTTTTAAAATATAAGATTATCTAAAGTATATCAATAATTATTAGCGTTTTGCTTTTATTTTGTACAATTTTTAGCAAATTGTTTTTGACCATAATTACTGATGAAAGTTTCTCTGATTAGGTTTGAAGGGCATGATATTAGCATTCTCTATTATCGAATAAATAGGTTAGCAGACACGGCGATACATAGGCACAGATAATAAAGGTCTCTCCCTCAAACGAGTACACCACAGTTATTCTTCCTAGAAACTTACTCCGTGTAATCGTAACTGTCGTAATCGTAGTCGACATCCTCCTCCAAGTCGTAGTCGGAGTAGGACTCCTCAAAGTACTCGCCGAGGGTAGTATTAGTTGAGTTAGTACTAGTCGGTGTTACACAATCAAAAGGTTAGTGATACTTTGATTGAAGAAGGATCTAATTAGTCTACTGTTACTAACGTTATTGAACAACCTAACTTGGTGCTCCTAATTCGGATTAGTACCTTAAGAGGTGTAGATGCAGTGACTTAGGAGTATGCGATAGAACTTTTAGAAAACGTTTACTGATTCGATCGTTGATCGATTCGATTTACCTTCTTCCGTTTCGGTGCTTAAATTGCAAGAAATTGTCGCCCTTGAAACGCACTGGCCTTTCGGATAATTCCGTGGATACATCGTAGCCCATGACTAGCAAATTAAGAAGGAAAGAAACATCTCTTTGTGTTTACAAAATTTTACAGTTCATTTTTAATAAGATGTGACGAACATTACTTACAAAATTCGCAGTGGAGACCATTGTAACCGTTCGCACATTTGCACAGATAACTGTTTAACAGAGGTAAACATACTCCACCATTGTGACAAGGGTTCTCGTTGTTAGGACATGGTAGACCATCATAGATTTCCGTATTATGTTGAGTAACGTTTACAGCTAAATTTTGATACGTTTTTCCATTCACCATCAGTCTTTGTACCGCGCCTACCAATCCAGTCCAGGCTCCAGCGAGTCGATGAACTTCTCGCCAATGTCTACCATTTAAAGAAATATATATTTTCTATCTAAAGTTCTTCGTTGAACGAAACATATTTAGAAACTCACTTAACGCCGCCAACATAAAGAGGCATTTCGAGATTCAGTTCCGTTAACGGACTTCCGGACAGTCCTCTGGCAACAGTTCCGTCGTCTAATTGAAGAACTCCTTCTCTGCCCAATCTACTGATTCGAACACAATGCCACGTGTCGAGCGTAACAGGGTCTGGAGAGGTAATATTGGCGATACCACTTCCAAGATTGAATCTAAACTCCAGTTTGCCCTGGACCAAGTTCAGACTAATGAAATCACCACGTCCGTTGTTCAACTGGCCATTGTAAAGTAGCAAACCGTCGTTGGCGTGCGTGAGAAACCATAATTCGATGGAGAACGCTTTCGCTACACCTTCCAGGCATAGAAGTTCCAAGAAACCGTCCCCGGACATTTCGGGTATCAATAGCTCTGTTAACTCAGCGTCGACTAGAATTAATTAAACGACGAAGTTATTCAATAAATTATTCGATAAGTTGTTCAGTGATGTAAAAACAAACGTCGTTAACTTTAACGAATCGGTACAATGTATCTCGTTAACGAATACATATCAAACGAATTTTTACTCACGGATTTCACAGTGTTCTCCAGTCCTGCCAGGTGGACACTTGCAAACGTAACCACCTTGTGGAAGAATATCACAAGTGGCTCCATGCTGACAAGGTTCGCCTATACAAGGATCTAAAGACTCTTCGCAATTTCTGCCAGTGAACTGAGGTGGACAGATGCATCTATAATCAGGCGGATCGTATTTCTCCACTGCGTAATTGCCATGTTCGAAGCTCGTCTCGTAATCGATGTCGTAATCGTAATCGCACTTAGGTGCCGCGCAACGTTTCTTCGCGTTTTTCTTCGATCTGCGTTGATCGATCGAGATGCAATGCGATCCTTTGCATCTGACAATGTTCATGCCATTCTTGTTTTTACCTTTCCCTCGTTTCTGAATTCTTCTGCACTCGCGACCGTTGCAGAGATCTTCCTCGAAGATGGGCTGACATGTTGCGCCGTTTTGGCAAGGCAGATTGGCGCACGCGTTCTCTCCGCATTCTTTCACACGATAAGTCTCCAAGATCTCTTTATCGCGGCCCACATGAAGATCGACGAAGTTTCGATTGATTTTCAATTTTCGTATGCAACCGAGGAACCCATGGTTGGTACCGATATTATCGTAAACCCTGCGCAGATAAAAAGCTTTCGCGTTATTAAATTTCTCGATGAAATGCGAGGACTAGACGAGTAATTGCGAGGGAAAAATTACTTAGAATAATTAGTAGGCATGTTCCCGACGAACGTATCTTGGTTGAGATCGAGCGACTTCAACATTCCTTGACTTTGACCAGCAACATCTTCCCCATCGTTGAAAATTAAAACGCCGTCCTTGTGATATCTTTTCGCGGCAACTCGATGAAACGTTTTCATAGTAATTCTTTCAGGCGAGGAAAGAATTACAGGGCCATTCCCTAAATTGTATCGAAACTGTACATGTCTGTAAAAATAAATTAAATCCTAAATAGTATACACGAAAGTGCGAACTTTTTAATCTATGATTCATTAGCTCGATATATAATGTCATGTATTGAAATAACCGTGTCTAGAAGATAAGAATCTTTCCCGAATAAACCAACAAGGCATTATCAATACACCAACGTAACTATATTCACGTGAATGATACTAATTCAGGAGATAACAACTACAGACCCGTCGACGATGGCTAACGAGACGAAATCCCCGGTGCCGTCGCTCTTCTGTTGGTTGTAAAGTATAATCCCGTTGTCAGCGTACGTCTTGAACTCAACCTCGACGCTGAACTTGTGGTAAGCCTTCAATCTGTTCATCCTGACGTAGCTCTTGCCGTCGAACGACGGCACCTCGTAATCCCTTTTGTTGATCTCCTCGTCGCATAATAGACCGGTGTAATTTGGACGACAGATGCAAACGAACGTTGCGCTCGGCAGATCGATGCACGTCGATGTCGCGTGACACGGATACGACAAACAGGCACGAAATTCTTCGGTCGGTGTAACAGGCACGTAATTAGCTGGAAAAGGGTCAGTTTCCTTTACATTCTTTTCTTCATCTTTACACGGCGCAAATAACGTTGGAAGATTCGGTCAAAGAGAGCCCCTTTCTATATCTTTTTTCTTCTCTTTCACTTACACCTCGTTTGAACGACACTTTGCTCTTAGAAGCCGAAAGAACGTAATGCAAATGGTCTTTGTTCCTTTGTAATAAGAAAATTAATGTTATTCTACAATATAATTTCTTTGGTAACTCTGCTTGAAATGAGCGACACGTAAAATTTGTGAGATTGTATTTTGCTTTAAAGAATAAGTACTTTTTGTAAAAGAAAGACGTATATTTCGGGAGATATACTTATGAAATAATATGACCATTATAAGAGTTTTTAAAATTTTTATCGCTAATCTTCGTATTTTATCTCTACCATTTACTACTTTACACTGCTATTATCGTATACACATTAAAAGAGAAAAATGCAAAACCATCGCTCGAATAAACAGGAGAAATCCCCAAGAACAACCAGAGTAGATAAGATCGGATCAATTACCAAAACATTCCTGTCTGTCGCTGGTTTCCGCGTATCCTTCCGAGCAAATGCAACCTCCATTGGAGCATTCGCTGTTAGGAATGGTGCAATCCTTGTCGTCGGTACAGAGGTCGCCGAGCAACGCGGTGACCACGCGAATCGTCGCCGGGGTTGGTCTATACGCTGCCGCCACTCCTGAAAAGCAGAATTAACGGATAAATCGACGTCTCTGCATTGAGTCTGGAGAAAAAAGGCATTTCTCGTACGGTCTTCGTTCCGTACGACATCGATCCGATTACCAACGTCGAGCTGATTCAGAATTAACCGTCAAGCGGATTTAGGAATGCACGTTTCGAAGCGCACACATACAGACATATACACATAGGCAAACTAGCGCGTGCACAAGAGCACAAACATATTAATTCGTAGTATTTATTCAACGCTATTTCAAACTATTAATTACGTCACGCTGTTAACGTTATCGCGACGACGATAATTACGTAGCACCGGTTACAGAAACTTATGACGAAATGCATTTGGCTCTGGTGCTACGTGTATCACTGAATACTGAAAGTGGCGGGCGGAAATTCGTTTGATTAAATTTGACTTTAATTTCCCCGGGATATTGATATTTCGTTATCGCGTTGAAATGTTTGTAGATAAGTAGATTACGGTAGTTTAATAGAATGGAATTTAAAGGACGGACACGTAGATGTCTTAAAACAAAATGAAAGATAGCGCGCAAGATTGCATTTCGTAGTCGTCGCGTGTAACTTTGGGATGAAATATCGACACGGACGGGCGTAGAATGGAATTGGGCTCGATTTTTACCGTGCTTTAAATTGTCCCTGTCGATCGTGATGGTTTCTTGATGCGCCCTGTGGGTGTAATAATAGCGAGGATCCGGTTCCGGCACCAACAGATGCCTGGTAGATTTCGATAACGGAGAAATGGCGGCTGCTGGTTGGGTATATTGCACTGCTGTATACCTTTTAACGGGGAAGTCCGTGTTCACCATGGGATCGTCTGAAAATTTTACGAACGTTCCACAATTCTACCACTGTTCGTTTTGGGTGATGCGATGGAAAGACAAGGTTACGATTTCAGAATTAGACGGCGCTCAAAAATAAACTCGTTTTGGACGAGCAACGAATTGTAATATATAAATAATTTCTTTTAAAATATATATTTGGAAGCACATTTGACCATTTAAAAAGTGTATTATATAACACACGTAACATATTGACAAACAAGTTCTATAGCGAACCACTTAATATCGTAGTAAGTCATTGTACGAATAAAGGGGAACTTTCAGTCTCGAACAAAGTAGCGGAAGCGCATCGTGAATTTTTGAAATGATAAAAATCGGATAGCATATTCCATCGAAACTAGGAAGTCCGAGTTGGCATCAGAAACCGAAGACAGCTTAATGGGATTTTAATTACTTTCCAATTGCAGCGTTGCTTCCTATTATTTCACATTGACGACTTTCACTGTCCTCCACTCTTTCCATTATTTTTTCCTCTCTCGGTTTTTGTATGTTTACCCCTCGCCTCCCGCCGCTGTGCCGATCGTCGCATATTCCTCTCGATATAATCAACGCTTTTATCGACTGCGGGACAAACCGACAACGAAATTTTTCTCCCGCTCGCATTCGGTCTCCGATGAAAATATTTTCTGCTTGGAAAATTGGTGTGTAGAAATGGATGGAGAAGGGGTTGAAAGGGGCGAGAGGAATGGATTTAGCCAATTTAAGAGTTCGTTGATTGGCGGAGAAGAGAATCTGACGGCAAATACGAGTTGACATTTACGAACCGAGAGAATTTCTTTCTCGATCCACATCGACGATTGGCCTTTTCATCGGAGGGGTTGGCTTTATCGACGTTACCGTTTCCCTGTTCCATTATTTCATTCCCTCCCTGTTTATTTTACAAAGAGTACCAAAGAACTGGAGTAGGATTAGCTACGTATTTATCTGCTGAAAGCGTGGAATTTTGATGAAGTTGAGAGTTCAAATAGGTGAAGTGGAACAGACAGATGTGAATGATGTCACGCAGCTATTTCTTGGTTTTACATTTTATTCTCGTTTTTCATGAATCGTTAACGGTTTTCTGCTTTCGGTGGGAAACAAGTTTCATCCATGCATGAATTCAATACTTATGTATGTGTTATATGTATGTATGTACATATTAAATACTTATGTATATATGAAGACAAACGTGCTCACGACATGTAATTGAATTTCGAGATGACGATGTCAATATTGACAGGTATAAATATTTTCTACCTGTCTTTCGACTCTCTCGCTGTCGCCGCTAATTGGAATAATATTTCCTTTTTAATTAGAATTATTTTCGACACGAAGTACGACGATGAAATACGTAAGATAAAGTTCCCTTTGCATACGAGGAAACATTCGGCGAATTCTCTTCTTAAAATTGGAAGAGATTGGCAGAACGGTTAAACCGAGTACAAAATAAATGATAGGATAGTAGATCAACGGGCAGACAAACACTCGATTCGTACAAGATGCCTCTTCGACTCTCCCAATGATCTCCCAAAATAATGATACTCCAATTCAGCTTCGTTTATTCCAGTCGAACGAAACAATTAATAGTCTCGCCCCTTCCTTTTTCGTGCGTCACATCGATCAAACGCACCCTCTCCCTTAATCAAACTTCACGTCACGTCAGAATGTCCACGTAAGCGGGATATCCATTCTTCTTTCAGTAGTCGCGTATCCTCAACACGGAAAAGAGATCACGCGAGGAACGTCGAAGAAATTGCGGCATACAATATTTACGGGGTTGAAAGTGGCGTCGACCGCGTGCGGTTCCATGCGATATTTCGCTCGCGGAAATTGTTCTACGTCACGTACGGGGGAAGAAGGGAAAACGTGATGAAAAAATAGTAGCCTTCTACTATGCAGAGAGGGAGCTGCGTCCTTTCGGTATAAAACATGACAACAGTGGCGGAGAGGCTGTAAGAGGAAAGAGGATGGTTCATCTGCTCAAAGTAATCTGATTTATGTTTGACTCTGTAGAGTGAGTCCCGAGAAAGAAGAACTTTTTAAGAGATTGACTTTCAGCGACAAGGGAGGACCAGGGCAACGTTGCTGAGGCGGGGCTTTGGACGGGGGGGGGGCTGAGCAATCGAAAATAAGGGGTGAGAGGTTACGGAACCAGGAGGAGACTTTAATAGATTTCGACGTTTCACTCCGCGAACTTTGTCAGTGAATGTGGAATACTCTGCAGCGACAGATGGAGAGGCTTCTCTCCGTTTTCTTCTTGGTTAAGACTCGTTGCTTCGTTTGACGAGTCTATCGACTATACGTGAAGTTCCAAGAGCTCTTGTATTCCACTATATTTACAATCCGATGATTTTATGGTAGATATCGAGGAACTTTAACGTGGATTTATCGATTATGCTCTTGTATTAACAATAATAATATTGTATTGTAATAAACGATTATGACTTTTCATCCGAGGATATTATAACGAGGCAGTGCATGATAATTTAAAATAATTTTTACATTATTTTCATAAACTCATATTTTTAAAAGTGTAGCGGCACATAAGCCAATGGAAGATTCGAATCGGGAGAGGCTCATATTATTGTGCCTTGGAGTGTCAACGTTGGTTTGGTTTAATAGGTTCAAAGGTAAACGAACTCCGGACAAAATATTATCGCCGTTATTTGCAATCGTGAACCGCAGTTACATTCCAACTTTTTATAACAGCTCCGGTCGATACAGATAGACGAACGTGCTCTCTAGGACAGCTAGTATAGCGAATCTTTATAGCCAGTCATGCAGTCGAATAGCGAGCGTAGAGTCGAACAGTAGTATCGAGCGAGCGACGATAACAACCGGTGTACACTATTTCTGTACTTGTATTTAAAGTGATTTTAATATACACTGACTATTACAATTTTATCACTCGTCTCTTTAATAAACTAATAGGTATAATAAACCATCTCAAAGGTTTCTTTCTTTGTACCTGTTAAATTTCATTTTTTTCCATTTTAAATTGCGAATGCATGAGTTACACGTGAAACTTAAGTTACGCTAAGTAAGTTTTCCCATTTATAATAACAGATATAGCAATTGAAACGAATAGAAAATAAAGTAGATAGCGAGCTAGTTCGAGGAGTTCGAAAAGCCAGGTATTGAAACCCTTTTCCTGATTACCTGGTCCACGTGAATTCGCCAGAATTCATTCGAACGAGATGCAAAGAGAATTTTTTCTTGGATAGATTTATCGCGACCATCTATTGAACACGATATCGACCGAATCTCCGACGGTTAAATTTATGTGGGGACAGTGGTATCAAACAGCGGTCGATACTGCATTCGTTCGAACTTTCGAAAGACTCTAGATCTGTCGCGGACTAATTCATTTTGATGGCGGAGTTGTGCTTAACGGCCTGGGCAAGGCATTTCGTTACCGTTTCTTAAGGTTCCGATGTAAGTTCCGGCCGGGCATAGCTCACAGGGACCACTTAAGACGGGACTTCGCTTCCAAGTCAACGGTGATTTAGTTAAATCCACCTTTGGCGCTTAGTTTCGCGAGTTAACGTCACCAACTTTCCCAGAATTTACCTACGAGTGAGATAGCGTACTCTTGGGATAAAGGAAATTCCGCGATACGTATCCTGTTCAATCTTTTCTACCTTTCAATTCCACGATTTCGTTCGAACTCGGTTTAGAAAAAGAAAAAGGTGGATAAATCGATAGAAAGGAATAGAAATTCCAATTAATGAAACAAGTACGGTAAATATGTTATTAAATTGTAAATTGACTTACTTTGCTTTCTTTCTTGTTAAATCGTTGATCGACGGGTTGTTTATTCTTTTAAAGGGAAAGATCATGGTGCAACGTTAATCATAGAACGTTAGCAAGAAGAAAGCAAGCAAAGTAGTGTGGGCAAGCGTTTCGGGTGTAAAGGGGTTATAAACATATATGTATACATGTTAGTAGAAACTTGATAAGTTTATTATCACGTAATGGATACAAAGGAACAGGTTAGATGATAGTCCTAATTTTAATCAGGCTGTGCGATATTGCATCTCCCATACGTTGATAAATATATCATTAAATTCCCTACTTCAAGCTCCAGCTTCTAGATAACACTTGTTCCTAATTAAGTTATTCTAAAATTCGTGAACCCTCGAAATCGTTACGACAATATCTCGTGCTTTAAACAATCCCTCTCTTCTCGTCTATCGTTAACTTCTTAAATATTATATATTCGCTGCTCGTCACCTAATTTTTACAAACAGATATATGTATTGTATTCCTTATTCGCAAACTATAATCGAACACACGGAAGAAATATGATAAGTCTATTTCTATTGATTTCTGGATGTTTCGTAAAAGATACGACTTATCATGTTTTCCTCTATGGCCTTCGTATATAAACAAAACATTCTGAAAATTCACTACAAAATTAACAAACACGTTGATGAACTATTTTATTGTACTACGCCATTCACCAGCTATCAAGACCGATTAATCTCTAGAGAATAAATTTGCGTTTTATAGACAGGAGCGAGTCCTGTTCGACAGCTGATCCAACGTGTGAAAAGTGCTCCCAGTGGTTAATTAGTTTAGTAATGCAGAATATAAGGCGGCCTGTACGGCGTATGTTCAGTGAACCCACCTCTGCAGTGGCCGAAGGCCTGTGTGACCACGTCTGCTTGATGGCGACAAGCGTACAGTCTGAGCTCACACTCGTTGTCGTATGTCTGTCCGTCACTACCGCAAACCGGCACGGACGGTATGTCCGATGGACAGGACGACGGACAAACACAGTGTGGTCCACCGATTTCCGAACACTGCCCGCCGGAATAGCATTCCAGCTCGTTGCAAGACGTCGGGATCGGTGGTATCGTATCGGCTGCAAACAAACAGAACGAACCCGTTAAATCGATCGATGGATGTTATTCGGTTGGAATATTAGTTCAGTTTATACAGAGTTACACAGAGTCTATATAACACCTGACGCTATATCGTTGTAAATTTGGTTTTATATGAAAGGAAATTTTTTTGGGATTTAAATGACTTGGTACTATTCCAGGACGATAATTTTTCTACTGTATATTCAATTTTAGGCGTCGATGGAAGCAAATTGGTTGAGATTTGAGTTATACTATATTCTGTGGAAGTTTCCTTTCGCGTGATACCTGAATAGCACCCTGTAGGTGTTAATATCTTGTTGTGGTCGGTGCAAATGGTACATTTCTGGCCCTGGATATCCGGTTTGCAAACGCAGCGACCTGTCATTTGTTCGCAGTCTTCTCTAACGGAACCAAAAAGCGAGCAGCCGCATGCTGGATCATTCAAAGGAAATTTGACGTGTCGATTAATATTAATTCAATCGATAAACTAACTTTCATATTGAAATATATCATCGTCCATTAAATTCCAGATATAAAGCAATAATCTCTTCGTTTAAATTACTAAACAGAATTTCAGTCATCCTTACGTATACATCCTTGATGTCCCTCGCTGATTTTAGGCAAGCCCCAATAACCAGGCATACATCTATCGCATTTCAGACCGCCTACACCTGGTTTGCACTCGCATTGTCCGGTTTCTGGATTGCAGGTGTCAGAAACACTGCCTAACCTGTTGCAGTTGCATAAACTCGGACAACCTGCGCCATTGGGCCCGCGTGCGGCCGTTTTGCCATCCGGACAGCAGCCGTGCCAGGAGTCTGAGCACTTTACGACTTGGGTTCCTTGAGCTAAATAATCGATAATTTACATTGACCTTCTCTTTAGTACGACGTTTTTTTTATTCATAGCAAATCGCAAGACGTTAGTAATAACATGCGAAATATGTTTGAAAGAATTTTCTAAAACTAAAATTTCCATCGAAAGGACTGACCTTTTCTGCAGCATCGAGCTAGTCGCGTGGTCTGATGGCAATAACTGTTGCTCGGGCAATCTCGTCGTTCTGGACCATTACCGCAATCGTACTCTTTCCCATCGGCATCCACCAATGGAGGATCGCCGTTACAAGGTTTCACTTCCATACCTGGGTTAAAAGTCTCGTCTGAATTATGTTCGCTTATGAAACTGTATAATAAACAAATGATAAATTATAATTAAGACAGTTAGCGACGGAGAAAATTAAAAGTAATTACAATGTTATTCATACTTACAATTCTACAAAGGAAGAGAGAAAAATTATATCGTAAATAACACACTAAGGTGTTGTAATTTAAATGTAATTAAAATTGTAATTATATTTTCTTTTGAAGAATGCGTCGCGAATATAACAGACAAATAAAAGTCCGAAAATATTCTGAAAATAAACTAATTCAAAGGTTAATTTAAAAGTTAGGAGGCAAAGCAGAGGAACAAGCAATGGAATGGCTAATCGAATCGAAAATCCAGGCAATTATACAGCGGATCGAGTGAAGTTAGCGGAAGCTACTGCGAACCTTGGCAAAGATCGAGAGGTCTAGGTCTTAGCTCTTGCTGCCTCTGGCAGGCCTCCATTTTCATGGCACAGAGGGACGAATAGGTCCTTAGATCGCTGCCGCAAACAGGGCGCATATTTTCTTGGGAAATCGAGGCGCAGTCGAATTTGCAGCTGCACCTGGGATAATCGTCCGGGCCCAGCTCGCAAGTAGCCTCGAAATCGCAGTTAATGTTCTTGCATGCTTCGCGTACCTGAGTGCTGGTCACGTCAACCGCGGTGGTGGCCAATCGAACCACCGCAGGCGTCGACATCGTAGCTATTAGAAGCGTAGCGATTAAGGCATGGTTAGAGTAATAAAAGCTGTTATACAAGATTGTCGTTGGATGGTTAGTTTTGTTAGAGCGGTGTCCTTAAGCTAGCGCAATTAATATCGTCGAGATGGCAACGAGTGATGCACGAGAAGTTGCGTCTATCGCGTTATTGAAACAAGACTTTGCACTATTAACGATCGATGAAGATATTTTGCATTCTCGAGAGATTTTACATTTTATATTCGTAGAGACCCCAATTATCGAAGTACCGATCGCTCAACAATTATTTATTATAGTGAATTAATTTTTAGTTTAAAAGATTGAAAGTTTCTTTTCGAATTTGAAAGAAAAGCACGATTAGATTATGAAAAGGATCAGATAGCTTACTGAGTGCTGCAACGAATCGTTCACCGCAATCGCCGTAGAATATCACGTGCAAGACCGGCAATTTAGGATCCCTTCCACAGGCAGCCTTTTGCAATTCACACTCCGACGGGTATGTCTTGGCATCGCTGCCGCACACTGGTTCTCCAGTGCTCTCAGGACACTCTTCAGGACACACACAGACGCCAGCCATGCAATGAGCTCCATGATCGCACTCTATTCTTGCGCAAAGCTCTGAAAACGTTTATCTTCTCCTTATACCTTCCCGATAATCCTGCTTGAATACTTTACTCAGCGAATAAATTGAATGTTCTTTTTATACCACCGATTGACTGCTATCCAATAAATTTTACGCGACGTTGACGATGATACAAAATATGAAAGTATCTAAAGAACTTACCACAGTCGCCTACGTAACTAATAGCGATGTCAGTTTGAGAAGTGCAAGAGGCCACCTTCAAAGAGCATTCGTTGGCGTAAGTTATACCATTGGAGCCGCAAATTTTCTCCTGTACGGGTTCTTTCGTCTGAAATTGACATAGAAGATTTATTATTACTATGCAACAAAATGTTTAGTTACTATCTACGATACTACGTACATACTATATGCTTTCTAGCATATCGTATTTGTGAACTTTTTAGCGAGTGTTTTCAATGGTTGCTCAGTCTAATGTATAATAATACAACTATCACCACTTTCTCTATGTGTTTTAGAACTATGAGAGTGAGACTTTTAGTTTTCTGAAGATACATTTTTTCTGCTTCACCAAAACTAATGTATTATATATAACATCTTCTCGCGATATTTACGTAGGTGGGTGAGTTCGTGAGAAAAAATAGCAGAAAAACGCGAGGCAGCACGCGTTTCGCACTTGTTGCACGCGGCTAAGGCGCAGTCGGGCCGGTGTTCTAACATACGTTGGCGTCACGATGCTGGGGGATGGGTGGCGTACAGGGATGAGAAATAATACGCGAAAGAGCGAAACTTAATTAGCCTGGTTGCGGTATCCAGCCACGTTGTTGTTTGCTTATTACACGCGTTGTCGGCCAACGTGACTTGCCCTCTACCGCTTCCGCTACATTTCTTTTGCGTTTTTTTAGCGTTCCTTCTGCGTTTTTACGTGCGAGTTATTCCCGGATGTAAGTGCGATCATGAATATATTGTGCCGCGATGAAATATTTGTAAACTAAAAGAAAATCATGGTGAAACATGATCAAGTATGGCCGAGGGAAATACAGATAATGGCAAAAATATTCGGATGCATACACAATTTTTAACATGCCACGGGTATTTTTGCGACTAACTGTATGTTCGTGCTTGATACCTCAACCGATATAAAAGAGTATAAAAGAGTATATAATCGAGAAATTATAATGGAGAAAATTGATATTTCAGCGGAGAGTATTTTTTACGACATTCAACGACAGTTAATTAATGCTTTAAGCAACGTTTAACCAAAGTATAGAAGATTAAAGACAAGTCGGTGTTCTATCGGAACAATTTACTTCGTATCATTACATTTTTGATATTGAATTTCAAAGAAGCATGTCCGTAGTAAACAGGATAATTGACTTAAAAAAGCAATTATGTGACGAACGAAAGCTTTGTTGTCCGATTCTTTTTCCGTTGCATTCTTTTCTCTTTTAATCCACTCAGCGGATTAATAAATATCACAGTTCTATTTCCATGATGAAGGGTAAAGATATAACGACGAGACTCCTCGGAGAGAATATCCGCAGTCGGTCGATACGTTTTAATTAGTTTCCGCGACAAGTTGATACGCACCTTGCCTCCTTCTTATTGTAATTTACGAGACAATTATGGAGGATTCGTGGGACTCTAAGAACGTGACTGGGACGTGCCGATATTCCTCGTTTGGAGTTCAAACAATGCCTCTAACCCTCATCTCTTTCATCGTGCCACTGATTCAGTCCTTTTCATCCCATCTTTCCTCCGAAGTCCTTTCGTTTCTATTCCCATGGAACGCTGACGCGTCAAATTCGTGGCAACGTTGTGTATCCATGCGCGAAAGATGTGATTTCACGTTTAAAACGAAGGAACGCGAAGGAACGCTCGCTGATCCTGTACTAAAAAGTATGCTGATGCACCTCAATCAATTCGCAACCATTCGCGTTGTCTTTTATCTCTTCCTTTATTATGGAAATATAAGTAATTTCAATCGATAGGAAATTTAAGTTGCTCGATAAATTGAGTATCATAATTTCTCTCCTTCTCATTTTTAAATAATTAAGCATCTGCGTTTGAAAGGAATTAAATTACTCCCGTATAGAGTGCCAAAAAGATTAAATCAAATAAATAGAAAAATGGACTAATTTTATTTTATATAAATCAATGTGACGAATCATTAAATTAAATATTTCTTATTTAAAAAATGTAGTCAAATTTCATGGTGTTTAACGTACTTTATATCAAGAAATATACAATATAACGTCCAAAGTCAAATACAAATATTCTCAAGAATCTATCAGTTCTTACTGTAGGTCCCATTGTCCATAACTACTCCATCAACTCTTCTAACCCACGCTTCAATACTGCAGCAACCAATCGTACAAATCAACTTCAAATAGATCCAGTGGTATTCCTGAAATACTCGAAGAGAAAGATTGATGGCTAAACGTGTATCTCGTGACAACTTTACGAGACGATAGTATCTACGTTCTGTGGTTTGAGGTCGTTCCAGGTGATGGCTGATCGGCCATAAGTGTGTTCTAACGCGGACGTCGTTGAATTTCGAATAGCTCCGGGGCCCAGCACGGATGGCCATCGCCTCTACGGGGTTCAACCACCTTTTCGATTTCTTTTTGGAAAAAGAAGCATGCGCCCGCGGCAGTTACTCGAACGACCAGGAACATCCGCGCCGTACATGCAAGAGTGAGTGAGCTCGGAATTGTTCGTGGTTTTGTCAGCAGGACGTTTCACGAATCCGTGAATTTCCGATCCACCGTGTGTCCCAGCTTGGATCGAAGGAGAGAAGCCTTTCCTTGCCAGCGAACACTATCTCAGGGATCCGTGACGTGCTCTCCATTCCCAACGAATATTTCTGCTCTGGGAAATGTTGCTCGGGGTGATCTTCCGGGGAAACCGCCGCGGATTACCCGCGATAAAGTCGCATTCCTTTTCCTTCTTTTTATTTTTTTTACTTCCACCTCCTCGGTGCACGTATTCGTTTCCAGACTGCGCTCGGGATTTCGAGGGGAATCAACACGGTGCGCCTGGCCTCGATTCCCAGAAAGATTGATTGTTACGAGCCGGATATGGGAACGTTTCGTATGGAACGATCGAGGGAAGCGACGAATTTGCCGCAATGTGGTATTACGGCGAGGTGTCGATAAATTTGGGGGAATAAATGATAGAGGGATTAGGATAGTAGAATATGCGAATACATGAGGCGGAGCGTGTATTCTCGAATATCGGAATTATACGAGAAATATAATAAGAGAAAACGAGGAGAAATTGAAAAAGGAGCGTGTGATATATGGTAATTTTTATGAACCTTCTGAGGAAACACTTTGGGTAACCAACCTGATAGAAATTAGCCTGATAAAACGAGGGCGAGCATCGCTCTCTTAAAGTTAGAGGTAGAAAAATTGAAAGTACAAAAAGGCTTCGATTCATTTCCGATATTATCGTTTGAATGATCAAAATCGTTCGATGCTAATGAATCGTCCAAGAGTGTACACCTGAAAAGCTAGACTGACGAAATTAGGAACGGGAAGGCAATGAAATCACAGGGAATGGAGAGGAAAATTGATAGAAAGGCTTTAATGAAAATGGCGTGCGCGTTAGTCGATTTGGCAAGGTGGGTTGGTATCGGTGAAACGAACGGTTCATTACACGGTCGCGTAACATCGAGTAACATAGCGGAAATACGAAATATCGTGCACGACCAGCGTATTCTGGCTCTGTACTGTATATATACTCGACACCACATCCATCATGGTATGAATATTTTACTTAAGCCGTGCTAACTAGCGAGGCTTAACACTACGAATGGTGGTAAGCACGTAAAAGCCGGCAGATCGACACGTTCGGTGGTTTATTATGTTTAACGACCATCACTCGATGTCTCAGACCATGGTTGATAGGATTTTCTTTTCTGCATAATTACTACATAGACGTTGATTTCGTGGATTGATGCTTCGATGACGATAAGCGAAATTTTTTATCTTTCCGATTCGTAAATTTGATAAATTAATACGATAATTGATAAATTATATGTACTAGCACAATAATGCTATAGCACAATAAAAATTGATAAATAATGAATATCATAAATACGTAGCTCGCGTTTGCTGTAGTATTTTAAAAGTAGTTTATACTATGAAATATAAGATGTTTAGAAATGGAAAGAATAAAGTGCTAAATAAACACTGTTATATGAAATAATCACTTTCTATGTTGCAGTATGAGCAGTCATTTAGATAACGCCATTCGCTATTTTTCAACTTTGAAGCGACGATTTTCTTTCACAATTTACTTATACTTCTTTCGATGGAGAATAACGTACCTAGTTTGATAAATTTTTATAGGAAATGTAATTCACCATGAAATGTGCGATGCTTCGGGCGAAATTATTCTGAAAACCGTCCTTTAGCTTTCGATTAGAGTTCTTAGAGATTTGATTTTCTTTTCAAGCGGCATTGTAGCATCACCTCTATTTCATTAAAAGGATGAAGGTGGCAACCGGGGAACGGAATAAAAATTATGATTTCAGGAACGGATTTGCGCGTCGGAAAATTGAAATCGGCTGACCGAGCTTCTAACGTTGCGTCCCGATTCACTTTGATAAGGATTAACTCAATTACTTCAATACGATTTAGGGATTAATTTGCTCGCGTTTTAGCGCAAATGTTAAGTAGATTCCGCGCGCCAGCAGCATTCTCTTCGAAGAATTATGTTTTAATTTGATTCCATCGTATTTCATTAATCACCTATGCATTTGTTCTATTCTAACTTCATCATCCAAAACAAATAGTTATACATTTTAATTTAAATAATCGATGGCAGTTCTTTTTACCAAATCATATTTTTCGCTACGATTTGATCCGATCTCTTATTTTTATTACCACTATTAATAGAGATTTCTCTTTCTCGACCAACCACTTTAATTATACTATAATAATAATTAAACTATCTATCAGCAAAAATAAACCGATCATGAATTAATTTATATCAGATACTTACCGCGGTCTCGCACTTGCTAGGACAAACGCATTTGGCTTCACCAGCGCTGTCGCTCTCGCACTCCGCGTAAAAGTCGCATTTCTTATTCTCGCATCCATCTGCGAACAAACAACAAAACATTTCTAATTAACAAGTGAAACCCATGTAACGTCTCCGTTCGTTCGTTTCACGTAACACAGAAGCCATCCGAACGATCTATCTCCGGCGGTAATTGCCCACGAGCAAAAAGCCGTGGCAAGACAGACCATTCGTCACCGTGAAATCGTACGTGGTTCTAGCCGGGAATCTGAGATGCCATGCGATATCTCGCACGAGCCGCTAATTTACCAGCCGGGTCGGTTGGCTGAATTGTTTAAGGCGGCGCGAACCTCCGCTTCCGTTTCCGTGATATTCCGGGCATCGACGCGCTTACAAAGCAGCCGCCGCCACCCTGTTGCAGTTCTGGCTACCTTCTGGCCGACGTTCAAGCCGACATTAATAAAGATTCCCGGTATGCTGGTATTTGCATAACTGCACCCGTTTTGAGGGAAATTATCTGGCCTGTGCCGATGTGACTGCGTGCAAGGATTCGGGGACTGCGAACAAAGAGAAGGAACGGCAGGATGGGATGGCACACGGCGGTGCAAGAGGGGTGCAACAAGAACCAGAGGAACGATGAGAGCGCGCGGGTAGAGCCGGTTGCTATTGAAGCTGGATTTGCAGTCGAGAAGTTATCTTTAGAATTCATTGAAATCTGAGAGGAAAGGGGCATCGGCTTACCGCTCTGCTTCTCTTCGACGACGTGTCGATGGTGCTACTACGGTCGAGGGTAACAAGCCTTCGGAGAACCCTAACCCAGATTCAGAATCAGAGTATGGGGCGATGGAAGTACAGCTTCTGGCTTTCGACGCTCGCGATACGAAAATCCCGGTGCTCGCTACTGGTATATACACCGTAGTCGAAGTCGACGCCAAGGATAGAAACGGGAGAAAGCCAAGAGGAGGCAGAGATAATGGTGGTGGTGGTAGTGATGGTGGTGGTGGTAGTGGTGGTGGTGGTGGTGGTTGGTTGAGGCCCGGGAACTGCATGCATATGCAACGTGCATGCCGTGGGGTAACAACTCATACAATTTCAGCGAGGGGCAAAGTCACCTGCGCCGTGATATGCATGGAACCGAATCCCAGCAGTACGTTTCAGAAGTTTCACGCGATTTTAAACCATGCAAATTATCTTGCGGTTGGGGAGAAGAGGTGCCAGAGAGTTCGACTCCTACCGACGATTCCCCGGGATTTCTTTCGCCCCGATCCAACCGAAACGAACGGTTACTCGCGTCACGGGGTGGCTTATGAGAAAAGTTTAGCTCGATCTGTCTGTGGTGTGCTCTAGCGTAGCGAAGATCGCGGTAAGGGTGCTTGCCACCTCGTCAGGAATCTGTTTCATCGTGACGCAGGATATTCCTTCGAGAGTTTTGTATTTTTTGATATTTCATTCCTCACTTTCTGTCTGTCCCCCTCTTTCTCTCCTGTTTTTCTCCTCGTTTATATCTTATTTTGTCAAATATCGCCGAGCGTTTAAACGAAATTTAGTTTCGGTTGCAAGTTTATTTCCATAAATGGATTTTTCAGTAAACATGCAAATACCGTTAACGAAAAATTCTTAAAGTACAAAGTTTCGCTGTTGATCATCATGCAAACAGGATTATGGTATCGAGAGAGAGAAGGAGAGAGAACGGATCAAAAGGTTTCATGCATCGTATGCAAATCATCCTGTGGCGAATCGAATCTTCACAAAAGTCCTTAAACTTCCCAGTTGATTTCGTAAAAAAAAAAATCGTTGTCGTGGACCGAATCTGATTACAAGAATTCCCGATATAACGAACGAGCTTGGTATAATGAACTCAGCTAGTCGGAATAGACCATCGTTCGATTTTTCCCTTGCTAACCGACGTGTCTCATAATAAAGTTTCCTTAATTATTTACCTGGTACCTCAGTTCTAATTATTCCGGTCTCCTGATCGATCAATACTCAATCAACTATTTTCGCGTAGGGAAATCTTAATCGGTTACAATTTCGGGAAGGAAACGAATTTATAATTCGAACATTTCTCGACAAATAAAGAGACGAGATAAATTATTCCGTGAATGTATTTCATCGACTCGTCGCTAAAACGATGGCATCGATAATTCATTCTTTAAACTCGGAAGAATTTAATCGCATTACTCGATGTGTATCGTTTGTTTCTATGATTATATATTTAATGTTGATGATAATAACCTGGCTACCTCGTTTGCATAATTTCAAGTCTATTTTCAACGACCATTCCAAAATTATTCGCGATATCTACAAGCTAATTTGAGCCAATTGAACTCGTTTTCTTGTCAGATAAATAACATTCTGTTTTAAGCTACACTAAGATTACTGAACGTTTTAATATTCAATAAATAGGGTTATTCCAGATCGTTCAGTTATGCACAATATTTTGTATGAACGTCACAATATTTCTTCTATTAAAAATAGAACAATCTTATAATTTGATCTCGAAACATGCTCTAAAAAACTCCGTAAATATTCGCAAAAATCTGAAACAGTATTATTAAAGTAGACGTTTTACGTTACGTAAAATAATAATCAGCATACTATGGACCTAATCACTAATTGAAAATATTATAATCGCTCATTGTGAAAAAATAAAACCTCTTTTTTGTATAAAACTTATTGGATAAGTAGAACAATTGGTTCAGTTTTTGTTAAATACTCGTGTATAGGTCAAAACTTTGTATCCGTGGAAAAAAAGTGGATTCGACGAATCAGGAATGAAGATTCTAGGGAATTAAAGAGGTTCCCGTTTTCCGGGGATTGGTACTCACTGCAGAGTCCCTGGTAAAGCACGCGGATCTCTCGTCGATGTTTACAGCCCTCCAGGCGAAGCTTACACTCGTTTCCGTAGCTGATGCCATCGTCGCCGCAAACTGGCTGAAATTCCGCCGGACAGGTTGGACATTCGCAAATCGCTGTGCCACCGGTTTCCGCGCAAATCGCGCCCCACTGACAGATCTGTAAAAGAAATTCCTATCAGCTTGACTTTTTCCCTTGGACGTTTTCGATCCCAAACGTGGCGATTCATTTCATTTCTTTTTTCCTCTCTCTCTCTCTCTCTCTCGCGGTTTCAACCGAGAGAAAAACGCGAGATTAATCGCGGTGGATCATCGTTTGCTTTTTTCACGACACACCTCTCGGCGACAGCAGCCTCTTTGTCGTAGGTTTTCTCGGATAGTCGCTGGTGCAAAGCCGATAATTTATTGCTCGTGATATTTTATCGCAACGCAAAATTTACGTGCTACTTTAATTCGCAGGATTTAACGTAAATCGTCGCAGTGCTTTGCCATGACCAACGCTGATTTTTTCCCGCATTTCGTTTGTTCGGAACGAACTTGTATTTTTCTTTTTTTTTTTTTTTTAGAATGAATGGAGAACGAGTGGCATGCAGGCATTACGATAAACACGAAATAGAATAACCAGACTACGGATGTTTATACAAACTTAAGCTTTTATGGACATAGCTAAGGAAATTACATTTTTCACTTTTATTACTTCTTTATACATAAGTATTTTTATGCCCCATTACGACGTACCTGATCTTCGTATTTACACAATAATCTTCAAAAGACTGTACGATAAATTTACTTGCAAATAGACTATTTCCACCAATTTAGTTTCTCTCATAAATTCAAGAAACAACTATTTCTTCCTATGTATAGTTCTTTTTAGTTAAACAAGACTGAATCCTGATTCACATCTCTTACAGCCACGCCTCGATTTTCGTCACGTCGCGCGTGTTTGTTTGCACGTTCAAATATTTGCCACTGTTCCTTTCTGTTTCGCGTATCTGACACCCGAAGCGGAAACTCGACTGACCTTCTCGGAGCAGGGCCCCCTGGAGCCACAGGTTCCCGTGTAAGCGACCTCGATGTTAGTCTTCGTTAAACAGGCCTGTCTCTTCAGCTCGCACAACGATGTATATGTTTTGCCACCCCGCGCGCATACTGCTCTCATCACAGGTTCGCATTCCGGACCGCATTCGCAGCTCGCGATCCCTTGTCGGTTGATCACGCACTGTTCGTAGGGGCCGCATTTCGCCTCGTCGCACGGATTGATTCCTGCACAATCATGAAGATTAAAAATTCCCTTTCAACGCGTTTCACTCGCCCTTGTGATTAAAAGTTTTTCAGTTTCTACTGAGGCAATAGTAGGTATTATGAGACGTTTATTCCGGCTGGCTTCTGAATTAGGACGAGGGTGCTGTTGATGGATGACTAAATGGAAACGGGGAAGTTAAAACGAGTCACGAAGGATGTTTCCGTCTGATTTTCAGATTTTCCTTCGGAATGTAGGATTCTCGCTACGAAGGAAGATAGAAGATGATACAGGAAACTGGTTCCAGTGTTGAGAAAGAAATTTATACGGAATTAGCTAGGTGAAATAGGATGTTTAAATAACTGTGTTGTGGTTGGAGAAAATATTCGAGCTGTAATATTCAATTATTTCTACTGTATGTATTTATTACAGTTTTAATAGAATTTATTTTACTAACTATTAATTCATTTTAGTTTAGTGCTGACTTATTGCAAGGTTTGAATTGCTGGAACTGGAAAAAGTTGGAAATAACTTGAATAACAGAAAACTACGAAATACTCTATTTCCTTATTTGAGAAAGAAACTATCGGAATACATTCACCACGTTACGGTATAATAGTACAAATGCCTCTTAGGAACTTGGACGAGCTGGAGGCTGAATTTAAAATTACCCGAGCTGCATGCGCCATTGTAGACCTTCCTGAGCGATAATCTCGATCTGCAAGCTTCCTGCCTGAGGCTGCATTCATTCGAGTATGTTTTACCATCGCTTCCGCAAACTGGTGCGAACTCAAGGCCGCACTGCTCACCGCAACGACAGCCAGGTTGCCTCGAGTCGTCCAGCTGACAGATTTCCGGTTCTACGCACTCCACGTTACCGCAAGGATCTGGAAAATTAAATTGCGGTACGTGCTAGTTGAAGTCACGTTCAACTCGTACAATGAAGACATGCTGTTGTAAATACCTTCGCGTCTGGATAACGCGAGCAACGCATCTTGTTCTCGTTCTCGTTTTAGACTAAATCGTTGTCTGTTTATGAATTTAGCGGAGTTGGATAGTTAGCAGAATAAAAATTACACAGCTTGGTCGTTACGATAATCAAAGGACAAAGATGATCGTGGAAAAAATAAAAATTTAAATGACAATCGCTGAAAATGTACGCATATATTTGACTATTCAGAAGAACCTTCCCATGAAAGATTATTCTCGTTTACTCTAAGACACCGCAGTCAACGTTTCGTCCCCGAGAAATTAAGTTTCATTGTCCACGGGCTAACAGTTACTTCCGTTTGCGGATTATGAACGAGCTGGAAAGAAATGCTCCAGGGAAATTTATGCGACTGCACGGTTAGGACGGTTTAGTTGCAGTCAGATTGATAAAGGCAGATAGAAAGAGCCCGATGAGAAGTGTACGCGGTCCTATGAGCGGGGAAAAGAACAAGGGGTGGTAAAGGGGAGGAATGGTAGGTGGTGGAGTCCAAAGGGGGTTACCGTGGCACAGGTAGAAGCATGGCTGCACCGAGATTAATCTTCGCCCTCGAGGAAGGAAGTTGGATTCCGTTTCCTGTCCGCAGGCGGTAGGTTTCGACCTTACAGCGGGGCTGACGCGGCAAGTTCCCGAGGCGGTGGTGTTTCTCGGGGTTAGTTCGAGTTACAGCTCAGTGGAGCGGCTAACCTTCCGCAACCACCCTCGTTTCTTCCTCGTCCGCCGCCAGTTTAGTGGCTCGTCCAAGAGTTGTAATCGAAGTCCCCTCCACTCTCCTTCCTCTCACGCAAATATTCTCGTACATCTCGTAACAGTTTCGTTTTCGCTCAATTCTCACGTACCTTCCGCGAACCATAATTTATGACGCGCTAACTGCAACGTATGGTTCCATCTTTTGCGTGCTATCGTTTGTTCATTGTATTACAGGAAACATCATTCGTGTCTTGACCGGCAAGATATTTCGGTTCTTATACTTTCATTTTATATTCGATACCTTTCAAAATAAGTGTAAGCTTTCCACATACACGTTCGCGAGAGCAATCGAGGAAATGGTAGGAAATTGAATTTACGAACAACGCAATTCTAAAAGCTTTAACTTAAATAAATATATGTTTAAACTTGAAGAACGTTAAATTTACACCAATCCGAAATTTTAAGAGTTTGTCTCTCAGTTTGAGACTGTTGTTCCAAACTCACGCGTGTTTGTGTTATCTCTTTCTTCAGCGGGAAATTACAATGATCAACGTGTCCAACATTAAGACCATCGATTGAAAATACGATATATCTTCGTTTGTTGCTCACACGTAGCTGTCCTCATAGCGTTGGCAATTTGAGATTAGCTCGTCTAACTCGATCGTTATACCATCCGAATAACAAGCCTTGAAGGCGTTTCCGAGCCTTTCTTATCTCTGCGTCTACGTCCTTTTTCAAATTCTATCCGCGAATTCTTCTCAAAGACAGCGAACCACAGGTCTCTAAGCTGGCGCTCTAACTTTCCGCGACATTACCCTGATTCGAACTTCTTTGTGTTATCGTCAGAGCATCTCTAAGGATTGTCTGTATCGGCGTCTGTTAGTCGTTATCCATAAAACTACGTCGCGAGTGCGCGTAATGATGTCGCTGCATGGAGCACATGCGGCGGCAGTTGGCCATTTTAACAAGAGAAGGGACAAAAAAGCTCAAGTTCGCCGCCGAGTTTAACCCGTTGGACGCATTTAAACAGATATTTTTCTCGGCTAACCTCCAAGAATAATTTCCGAGGGAACGGAAGCGTCGATTCGTCCTATTCAAATTTTCTCGGTGGTAATTTTTCCGCCCCGCCGGCCAGTGAATATAATTCAACGGAGGAAAAAAGACAACGGAACGGGTGGCATTAAAACAACATTGAATATAAAGCGGTCGCGTGAACGAAGGTGGGTGGATGGAGCTCGCGGATGAAAGGGATGAGAGAATGGAAGAAGATCAGGACAGGCTGGCGTCACTTGAAACCGTAAAACCCCTCGTAAATTGCCTTAAAGCCCTTCGATCGTGGACAGAGTGCGTCGAGTCCTCGATTTTCACCCTGTTCCACCCCCCTCGGGCGATTTCGACGAACAAAAGCCATCCGGACCGTCGATAGAAGTGTGTTTAAAATTCCCGCGTCGCCGCGAGGCAATTGTTTTTAAGTCCGTCGCTAAGAGCCACACCAACCCTCCCCCTCTCCTTTTCTTCACTCCACGGTAGTCGACGACCTTCTTTCTTCGCCCCTCGCATCCTCCCTCAACGGCTGTCTCCGACGGTAGCATCAGCCTTGTCTAATCTTCCGAGTTACGCGAAACTTTCTACGTGGCCCAGCTACTTTTTTCCAAGCTCCACGCCCATCCCACTGAGGTTTCTCTATCCTTTCTCGACGATCCTTCTTCATACCTCCGACCAACCGTGACCTCCTCGCCCGGCTTTCTCACCACACCGCGCGTATTTTGCATTCCCGCGGAATAACTTTCAGAAAGGAATAATAAGCGGTGGGGCGGAATAAGAAAGAAGTTGTCCGGGAGGGTAAGTGGTGGATAAAGGGAATTGAATTGAGTTTGGTCAACGAATTGAAAGATCGCTAACTTCTCTCTCCGCTTGTCGCGTTTCGCCGTCTGCATTCTTATTTCGCGCTTCGTTATTGTTCCGGACGGTTTATCCTTTTTAGCCGCGGCGGTGCTGCATCTCTGTTTGCACCTTTTGCCAGTTCGACGAGTAGAATACGAGGATCTTCGCAGCTTTCAAACGACATTTAAATATTTCCTTCTAGCGAGGTGAAAATGTCGAATAGAGAAGAGAAGGAAGAGAAGCGTAATTCGTAGACTAATAGCAAATAAATTGTTATATTATGCAATTTGTAGAAAATGTACAGAATGCTTTCGAAGCTTGGTCTAGCTTTAGAAGTTTCATCCAGCTTTGTTTCAATAGAATTGGCAGTTTTGCATAGCTTCAGTTTTAGGTTTACTAGTTGTGGTTGTTTTACATAGCTTTGCACGCTTTCGAAAATTTCCTAACTTCATGTACGACTGAAGTTTGCTTGAAATTTCATCGAAGGTTAGGAAAAGCTATGTTCTAGTTTCGGTTAAACTGAGAGCTGAAATTTAGTTGCAGTGATCGTTGACGTATTCACAGAATGAAAACTTATTGTAATTATTTTTCCAAAAATTCTTGTAAATCTGACGTATCCTGTATGTCAATAAACCAGTCAGGCATGTTTATTGACTAGAAACTCGCATAAATGAAACAGGCAGAGAATCGAGCATTGGAAGATAGTCAATGAATTATGCAATCAAATTATCTGGCTTAATTCGTGAATGTCATATCATCGATGCTTGCAATAGCATTCGTTCAATTATAACGTAACATGTTTCGTAATGAAACCACTTCACGATTTGAATAACTTTTCTACTATCAAGTTCATTAGCGACTCAATTTTATTCTGCCACTTTAGTAGAAAATATCTGTTTGGGGTATATTCGTTAAAAAGAGGAGGATAAGTAAGAATTAAGGTGGAATAATAAACGAAACGTTAATCAAACAATTAACATAATTGATACCACATCCATCTTCCACCAGATAACACGAAATAAATTCCTTACGCGACACAACGAGTTTACGGTGAATGTATTCGTTCAGTAAATTTAGACAGCACATTTACTAGTTAACGTATGCGCATATCAATCATGAATGAATACATTTACTAGGAATAGATATTTTGATACTTGGTCGATACTTGTACTAATATCTTATGTAAATTTATACTGTATGTAATATAATTGTAAACGTATGCTTCGCTGCTATGCAGTCGGCGTATAGATTTTCTAATTGCTCATCACTGTGCAAACAAAATAGAATTTTATCGCTCGTCAATCTACGCCAAGTAAATTCCCAATAAGCACAACGATAAACACAGCTGAATTTCTCGTGCTCTTAACCACCCTCGAAATACAGTTTCCCTTGTTCGACGCAAAATTCGCCACAAACAAATCACATTAAGCTAGCAAATCTTAAACGAACCATTCGACTGACGTCTCCCTTTTCTTCCCTGTCAACGGATATCCTGTTCGGTAGTTGGATAGATAATGCTGCACGGAGGATGAGCCACGGAATTCGGAGAATATGAGGAACATCGTTGAAGGGAATTACGCCCGAGCACCAACGACTGTCTGTGTTAACAGCGTCTTGGCGGCCGCTTTCCGCAGCGTCTACTGTTGTGTACTACTCATGTGTACTGGCAGCAAGCCACTTTCATTCGACCTGTGGCATCCCCGAAGTGTACGCGGAACCCGTGCAGCTCCTTCCCTGTAGCAGGCGAACAGGCAAAACTAGACGTGGCAGTCACTTAGGCTCGAGGCGCGTAAACATAAACGCGCAAGAGCATCCGCCCAGAAACAGCGATGGTAATTTACGAGGATATAGTACGGAGCATAGGAAACTTCCTCGGGGAAACCTTCGTCGCGCACGCTGCATCGTAAACGGGCTACTCAGCGAGACGAATTGGCTACGTTTGGGTGTTCGATGGTAGATCGCTCCAAAGAGACTCCGTCGTAGCACGTGTCGTTGGTGAATTATAAGTGATTACACGGATGAATGCAGATGGATTTGACGCCGCTCCACGCATACCTGCAATTTGCATGCACGGATTCGTGGTTTGATTTCATTACGATGCAATTACGGTGTAACCGTTTGAAGATAATTTATTGCCGGCTCTTTTGCTGCATTTACATGCACTAGCAAAATATACTTGAGACTATATCGTACGTGACGCCACTTTTAGTCGCTTGATATTATTCAGGCTTTGTTGATGAAAAAACATTAGCTTCTTCTGGAAGAGGAAGATGAAATTCTGATCGAAGAAAAATCGTAGAAGGAAAGTTGCATCGAGATTGGATT